GTGGCTGGCGCCTTAGCTGGTTGAGCTATAGGCGCCGAGCCCTAAAATTTATTCTTGAACTCATTTTCAATATAGTTTCATAATTTGTTCAGAGAGAACTATTTGTCTCCAATAAATAATAAAACTTACATATAACTATCCTAAAACTTGCTCCAAGAGGATGATCTACTATGTACATTTACTTTTTCATTTGAAATAAGTCCTTCAGAGATGAATCACAACTATAGTCTAGGATGAAGAAGGGAAGCAGAGGGGGAGGGGAAGGGAGGAGGGTGGGTCAGATAGAGGGAGGGTTAATGGGGGACCACACCTATGGAGCATATTGCAAGTACAAGTTGGATCTATCAGGTGTAGACCATAAATGTCTTAACACTGTAATTGGGTAAATGAGATGAAGGCTATGTTAATTAGTAGGATGTAAGTACTACAATTTGCACAAATAATCAACACACTGAATCCCATAATGGCATAAATGTATTCATGATCTATGTACAAATGACTCAATAAAAAAAGTCTTTCAGAAGTATGGAGAATTCTCAAAGAACTAAAAGTCGACCTTCCATTTGATCCCACAATCCCAGTACTAGGTATCTACCCAGAACAAAAATCATTTTACCACAAGGACATTTGCACCAGAATGTTTACTGCAGCTTAATTCATAGTTGCCAGACATAGAAGCAACCCAAACGTCCATCAATCCATGAATGGATTAACAAACAAACTATGGTATATGCATACCATGGAGTACTTACTATTCAGTCATAAGAAAAGATGGAGACTTTCCATCTTTTGTGTTTTAACTGTATAGAGTCGAAACATTCTTCTTAGTAAAGTATCTCATGAATGGGGGAAAAAGTTTCCAGTGTACTCATGAAACTGATATATAAACTACATTCCCACATGAGAGAAAAAACACAATGACAGTCTAGCAAGGGAGGAGGGAAGGGGAGGGCAATTGGTGGGATCTCACCTAAAGTGTACAATGTGGGGGTGTTCAGCATGCCCTCTGGGTGAAGGGCTCAAATACAACTTGAACTTTCCCTTAGAAATGAAAACAATGAAAAAAAAGAAAAAAGAAATGAAAACAGTAACCTGGAGTAGGGCACTAGTCACATATGCCGGAGGTGGTGGGTTCAAATCAAACCCAGCCCCGGCCAAAAACTGCAAAAAAAAAAAAAAAGTGTTCAAGTGGCTAAAAGAGAAACATATAATTCAACTTAACAGCATCATGGACTTCAACGTTTTTTCTCATTTCAGTCTTTAAGAATTTAGGTCAAGTGACATTTTGACAGATCTGCAGATTAATGTTTGGCTAATATCATTGTAGATTATTATAGGAGATCTGCAATTTGAGTTCTTATGAAGTTGGACCCGTCAAACCAACATATCATATGTCTAATAACATAAGGCGTGAAAAAGACCTCATGTCCTGTTGTTTACATAAAATACTGTTATTATAGATCTAAAAAATTATACTCCAGAGCAGTGATAATTTTTATTTCAACAAAGCACACCTGGAAAAGGACGGAACACAATTCCAGCACCAAATAATTTGGATTATTTCTGATCTAAGTCTACCTCTGATCTAAGTTTACCATTTACACTCTACAAAAGCAAAAGAATGTTATCTATTTCCCATGCTTTGAACTGACTCAGCCACTTTTAAGTCTTTTTTTATTTCAGATTAATATGAGGGTACAAATGTTTAGGTTACATTCTTTTAAATTTTGAGGTAAATTTCTTTTTTTTTTTTTTTT